CCCAAAAACCTATAAATACTATCAATACAGTGAGTGATTTACACCAAACGGAATTATTCCACCTAACCCTAAAGACAGAAAAAAATGTTGGCATCAATCAAAGAGAGATGGGCCAGCCAACAGTGCGGATGTACTAGGCCCCAAATCTTTGATTTTTAAAAAATTGCAATTTCTTAATGTTTGGTGTCAGTTGCATGTGGTCAAGAAATATTTGGTTGAAATTCAAATTCTTAAAGGTCATAAAAGCAAGAACAGACAAATATTATAAGAAAATATTTTTAAAAAAGAAACAGTATTTTCTCTCTCCTGAAAAAACTTTTTTTTTCTGGGCTTAGAATAAGTAAACAGCTTGCAGACATCTTTGAACCAACACAACTCTTGAAACATGTACCACCAGGCTCCAGCACCAAGAGCGTTAAATATTTAAACTTCAACACTTTGGTCTCCAACTGTTTAGACTTCTGGTAATGAGCCAGTGGCTGAGTGAATGCCATTTGAAGCAAACTGTAAAACAATTCAAGTATATACATCGTGGATGTCTGACTCTTACAATGTATCCGCAAATTAGTTAACGTCTTTCTCATTATCTTCCAGACCTGCTCCAAATTTTATGTTGTCTCATTTTTACTTATTATAAAATTACCAAGTGTAATTGGGGATGGATGTAAATAACAATTTCAGTCATAAGAACAGTTTGACCTAGTTTGACAGATACAGTTTGAGTCGGAAACCAGGGATATATAGATATATATGTCCTCAAAAACTTTTTTATCCTCAATGAAAGACATCCAGAGAACAGCCATAACTTTGACATCACAAATTGAGAGAATGGCCATGATAATTTTAAGTCTTTGAGAAATGTTAGCAGGGATGCCACTGAAAATGCCAGAAAATTTACAAACTTACATTTGCAAACAAAAAAACAATACATGCAGCTAAAATGGGGTTAAACAGAAAAGAAATGCTTAGAATAATAACAACTCATCTGGTGTAAATAATTTAAAATAACTGTTTATCTTGTGTAGTGTTTGCTGTGAGTAAATATTTCGGATATCGGTATTTAGAGCGATATAAAATATCGACTGAATTCAAGGGACTTTCTCCCATTTGGACAGGACGGGCTCTTCACATATTGGAATTAAGTAGGAAAAAGAGTGTTTCCCCAGCACTAGAGATAAGCACTTTACAATATATATTATTACCCCAGCAAATTTGATGGCATTCTGAAACAATCTCAACTTCCTGGGAAGCATACAGCAATCAAACTTCTACATCTTTAATCAATATTTTTTTTTTCAAACAACACAAAAGAGCAAAACAGTTCGTATCTTACTAGTTCGAAACTACAAGAGACAATAGTAATGTTTATCTGTGGAATTACATGAACAGCCACAAAATGTCTTTTACTTATGATGCTGCATGTAAGTGAAGGAGCAGGAGAAGAAATGTGAAACACTGAAGAGAAATAGATGAAGAAAAATAGAAGGGCAGAGATCATCACAAGGGCCATTCCATGGAAAGTGAAACTGCAACAACACACATAATGCGTGGAGGATAATACAATAATAACAGTTGTATTTCTATAGCTCATAGTGACAAATTCAACGCTTCACAGCATGCCCACACGCTTTACAACCATGATAACACGCTGAAAAAAAAAGTTTTGAAAAAGTGATAGAGCCATTCCTTATCTGTAAGTGTGTGTTAGATGCAACCTTCCTGTGCACCAACCAGTAACTTACTTCGAATTAATCGGTAAGTATCCACAGACACTTCGTTATGTATTCAACAGTAGTGTTGGTGATGAGCCACATGTAACATGGAATGGTCTGTAGACTCTTCGTACCATGCCCTACTTTGATGAAAGAAAAATTGGCTTGAGAAAATTGTAGTTAAAACAGCTCTGTAAACCCTCATGAAGTGAATTGTATGTCAAAGTCTGTGTGGAAGAAAAACATACTGGCACAAAAATGTTCACTTAGTAGGGAAAAAAAAAAAGAAAGACAGGTGGGCAAAAAACGACACAGAAACAGTTTTAAAAAAAAAAGGAAAGTAGGGTAGTCCAGGGATATCCTCTGACTACCCGCAGTTTCAAGAAACGTCAAGAGAAAAATTACAAAAAGAAGCAAAAGCAGAGGGATAAGCATGCAGGGAACAGGCAAAGAGTAGAGAGACAAACTGGAGTTATTTCACAATGTTAGCTGGACTTCGTTTTCTGGAAAAGCAACAATAAATATTGTCTTACTTACAGCCATTTGGAAAGTATATATCTCGCAGGGTAGCAGCACACCTATTGCAACTAGCGTTTTAAAAATTTACAGGAGAAATAAAAAACTTTTTCCACTACAATATCCATCAGCAACACATGAAAATCCAATTTAAAGTATATTTTTACTAAATAACTGCAAAGCTCTGAGGTTTTTACAGTGCATGCCCCTTTTCACAGTGCCTTGGAATATGTCAAAAAGTGATTTCCCCCCCCAAAAAACGAATTACGATACTTGGAACTGTTACTCCTTGATTTGACGTTTAGCTGGAGCCCACAGTAAGTCATTTAATTACGCATCACTATGTATGGAAAAGGAAATGGGGGAGGCCAAAACAGAGAGGGAGATATGCTCGGCTTCACATAACACTGAAAAGTTTTGAATTTATGGAATGCATTATCTTTACCTTTGTGGAATGTCAGTCTTGACACTACAAGAGAAGAACTACAGTCGGAAACTGCTCTAAAGGCCACCTGTCCAATACAGCCACCTGTATAAAAAAACCACTTCCCCCTTGGGTTTTTCCTGCATTATAATTACACTGCACAAGACATTCACCTCTCTAAGACAACCATTTTTCACCTTGACAGAGGGAGGCATTTGGGACAATTTTGACTACCATTAGATTTAAATACATCCAAACACCCAATCCAAACCAGCAAAAAACCCAAAATGTTCTAGACAGTTAAAGTGTGCCATACCACCCTTATCAGAAGACATACTGATCCGACTCTACAATTCATTGCACAATGAGTCATACTTAACATGCAAACAACACTAACAATATCTTTAAAAAAAAGTAAAAGTTCCAGTAAAAAGTGAAGACACCTTAGCCATGAAAGTCTCCAAGACAATGTTGACATATGGGAGTTCTGTCGTCCAAAGGCAGAATGACTTAAATGCACATTTCATGAAAAAACCCATCAATTTTGATGTTTCATATTGCTTACATAGCTTTACCACTTTCACTTTTAAAACAAGATGAATTTTGGAAATATTAATAAATTCATAACACAGGCAAGGATAACTCAAACACGTCGGGCATTGACAAACGTCTTCAACACATTGAAAATACAACGAAAATTTAAATATATATCAGTCGAGAAATGGCAAATTGTACCAGCTACTAGTGATTTTGAGTATTCCCTGTTCTTGTTATCTATGCCGACTGTATAATCATTATCATTATTGTTATTATTGCTATCATACTATAATGGCAAGACTAGTGATACAAACCAATAAAACTAAAAAACTCAATTTTGTCAGATATGTCCCTCTGCCTTGGGACAACGGAGTATTTACACGAGCAAGTGAGAGCATTTACAATGACATAAACAATGTAGTTCTGATCAAAGGGAAATCCCCTCATCACACTTCCACTACCCTCCCGATCTCTATTTTGGATTTCCTTTGAAGTAAAATACAAATACAGAAACCAAAGCTTAAAAGAGGCTTTTCTCATCATAAAAGCTGTTTATCTGTAGACCTCAGTGTGTCTTTAGTTTATCTACAACTTTTCTACAGAGCTTAAAATAGAAGACTTTTGCTATGGCTAGCCTTTCTACACTTGTTAATGAGCATATACTTCCCGCAACCAAACAGCTTGTTAGGAGCGACAACAGAGCTGTTTAAATTCATTGAAAAAACTCCAAAACATTTTCTTTCACTCAACTGAACTCATACAAAATACATTGTCCACTAAATACACTCAAAATACTTCACACTCCACCCACTGAATACATTCAAAAAATTTTACTTTGCCTCCATTGAATGCACTCAAACTACTTTACTTTTAGTCCACGGAAAACACGTAATACTTTACTTTTAGACCAATGAATACACCACTTTACTTCCACTCACTAAATACACACATAACACACTTAACCCTCACTCCATCGACTACACTCAAAATACTTAACTTTAAGTCCCCTTAACTCACTGAGCACTGGCCGGTCCGGAGTCTCGACAGTCTCTCAGTACTGGCTATTTTCACACTTTTTCGAAAAATTCTCAGGAATGTAAAAAGCGACTATAGCTTCATTTTTGCCTTAGACTACGATACATTTCTCCTCTTTATAACACTTTATACTTTACTAAGCTAACTGTAAAACTACTTTTTCCACAAATTTTTAAAATACCCCTCTATTTTCAATTTCAGAAACCCTTTCTTCTCACTGAATGAAACAGAAAATAACACCGCAAATCAAGTATTGTAGCATAAAAATGTAAGGACGAGATACAGATATCTATATTTTACTTCGTTATTATGATACTGGCTTGCACAGTTGTCAAACATCCCTAGATCTAATATTTAAAAAACAATCATAGGCAAATTGAAAAAGACATTGAGCCTTCTCCAGTAGGTCACAAAAGTGAAAATAATTTTCATCTAAGCCACTCCCAGATTTCAGAAATCTTCATTTCTGGTTAGGAAAATGAAAAATCTAAAGCTTCGTACAAGAATTATATTGCTTTATTAGATCGTCATCTTGGGGGGGGGGGGGGGGATGCAAAAACCCAATCCCATCCAAGTTCGGGACCAAAGCTCATTGAGTTAATTCACTTAAGATACCTTTTACACTTACCCCACTGAATACACTCAAAATAGTTTACATTCAGTCCATATCTTCACTAAAACTCCTGTGCCGGTGACCAATTGTGACGATCACCAGTCGGCCCAAACCAGCAGTTCCGTGTCCACTCGTTCGAGAGAGCCGCTGGCAAAAGGGGGGGGGGGGGGGGGGGTAAGAACGGCCAGCAGAAGCCAGCTCTAATAGCACTCTTCACGTCCGTTGAGTACAGGAATTTCATTTTGTGTACAGTTGAACAGTTTTTATCAGAATATGTGTCGCAGCAAGGTGGAATTTGGCGCTTATCAGTTTTTGGGCATATGGAGTTAATCTTAAACTTGTTCATTTGTCCAGCTTTCAATGGAAACAAATATCCATCTATCTTGAAATATTTCTTATTGAAGGAGATGAGAGTTGCCTGGTGGCACTTTAAGTTTGGGACTTCCAAAGCCCGAGTTTCTTTGGAAAATACTTTTACATTCTTCATACCTTTGATCAAAGTTTGTCAGTAAAATCCACAGACATGTGAATTCAAATGGACATAAAAGATTAAAAGGCATTGAGCCCCCCCCCCCCCCCTCCCCAAATAATAAATCCAATAAAAATTGCTTGATGGGCGGAAAACCGACAGTTTCTTCAGTTTCATCATTTTGACAAGTACCCATTTCCACCTCGATGCCACACATATTTTGTGTACGTTGAACAATTTATGTCAGAATATGTTGTAAAAAAACACCAAAAAAAACAAAAAACAAACAAACATAAAAAAACAACCTACTAACAGCTTATCTAGTCAGGCGTGGCCGGGGGTTCTGTGCTGAAGTAGGGTGTGGCATCTTTGACCAGGATTGTGTGGCACACATCACAGACTTTGGATGGCCGGAAGTTGGGGCCGCTGTTGACTGACTTGGTGGTGCAGTCCGAGCAGAAGATCTTGCCGCAGTGTCGACAGTGGTGCTGGGCAGGAAATGTTTGTTTCGTTTTAGTAAGGAGTAATACAGCACTTGTGACTCAAACAGGTCATGTAGGTGTTGAAGATTACAGGTATTAGTAGAGAGAAACATCCCCCCCCCCCCAAAAAAAACAACAAAAAAACAACAACAAAAAACAAATCGAGGGGAGATAAAGATGACAGATGTTTGATAGGAAAGAAGCAGCAAGCTGGAAAGGACGGGGTAAATAGAACTACATCCACACAATAACTGTCATAGAGTGCAGGACAGAATCAAGACAGAGAGGGAAAGAAATGAAGTAAGACATACCAGTAGTGCCCACTCTTTCCCACGCTCTCTCTATCTCTCTCTCACACACCCTCATTTTTTTGGCTTTTAGTTTAGTAAGAATTTTACAGCGCTCACAACGGCATAAGGTCACAATCATGAGCACGTGAAACACGAGTTGCATTCACAACAGTTCACAGCACAGATTGGTTTTGGTCAATGATAAGATTGAAATTTTTCTTCTGAACAAACAAAACAAGACACATTCAGAGCATATCATCACCACTATATTCTCAGACAACCAAGTCTAGAGGTGCCAAACGAAACGGCTAAGAAAAAAATCCTGAAGTTTTCAGACGATGTAGAAACAATTGCACAGGGACTAAAAATAATTACTTTGTTTAATATATCTTGAATCAAGACTATTTTTACTATACACAGTCTGGCACAGATGGCACGAACACAGAAAACTCAAAATCACAGCTAGCTCGTACATTTTGCCATTCCCCCAACTGATATCTCTAAGAATTGCCAAATTATGAAGAGGGCTTTTTTCAATTCTTCCACAGATTCGGTCTGAACAGTGTCAGTCTGAAACAAATATAGGACAGAGAAAACTCTTACAATAACAATTTTACGAAAAGACACTTCAAACATGTCGTATTTAATCTTTTCAGAAGACAATTACAGCCATGCAGTCCATAATATTTTCACAATTCTTACCTTGCGTTTGGTGACAGTGAAAGGTTGCTTGCAGTTGCTGCAGTCATCAACATCATCCTCATGCTGCCAGCGCACCTCAGTCTCCGCCTGACGGATTTTCTCCAACTGAATCTGGAACATTTGTGGTAAACGTTTGTAAGGTTTTTAAAAAGTTTTAGTACAGGTTTTACAGCGCTCGCAACTGCATAAGGTCATATGAGCACCAGAAGATTGGAGGTGTTACAAGAGTGTACCAAACATCAAAAAGAAGAAGGGGAGATAAGGACAATAAATGTTTGATAGGAAAAAAGAAGCAAACTACATCAGAGTACCTGCCAACCATCCACGTTTGTAGGTTTGAGTTTTCGCAAATTGGGTCATTTACGAGGTAAGTGCCTTGATCCTACCTTATAGAGACAAAATCAGCTTCATGGGAAACAACTTAGAAAAAAGACAAAGAAATACTCATGTAGTTGATTTGGGAAAAAAATGGGACACAAGCACAAAACCAGAGGTTCCATGACAAGATGGGAAAAGAAAAGGTATAAAACGACAGTAACTTTATTGTACCTAAAAAATTTCACTATGAAAAACGAGTGAGAGCAGACAAAGAAAAAACCCACGTAACTGTAAGGACTGACTGAGCTTGACAATTGGACAGTTTCACAAACAAAAAATAAGTGACATATCCATTTTTCTGGTTTTGAGAAAAGTGAAGATTTTCGTTCTTCACTCATTCACAGAATAGTCTTGAGCAACTTTGTTTTTAGAGTGAACATGATGTTAGGCTTAGTTGATATTTGTTGAATGATGAAACCTATGTTGGCTTCTTATCCTTTAAATTGATGAGATCTCCCCACATTTTTGACAAAACGCAAAATGTCCACAATAATAAGGAAGAGAGATAACCACTGCCAAACTTTTGTCAACCACAAGAGAAGTCATGCGACTTAGGGAAGAATTTGATGGGAGCACAGAGGACATTTCGCAGTTTGTCACAAAAGATCTACAGCTTTTGTCAGTTTTGTGAACAAAAAAAGAAGTATTTCTGCAATTCTTTAGAGAGATAAAATCGTGTTTTGTGAAAAAGAAATTGACTCTAGAATGGGCTTCACCTTTCTCGGTACCACAATACTAGTTTTGGCCAAAGGTCAAAAATGGCATTTGTCACATTGTGTCGTGAAACTGTCCAATAGTTCCTGCCTGTATTAGTTTGAGTAGAGGTTTTACGGCGCTCGGAACAGCATACGGTCATATGAGCGCCAATTTCCTGCCTACCTGTAAGGACTGACTGAGTTTGACAAAATCTCTCTGTACAGCCTCACTGTTGTCCAAGTCCACTTGTAGAGACTGCACCTTGCCCTTCATGTTGTGGTTCTCTGTTTCCAGCTTCGTCTGAAGGAAAATCAAAATAATAATAAAGATAATAACAATAATAGTTGAAAAATTAGATATTATAACATTAATACTAATAATAATCATGGACAATATTAAAAATCTTCATGCTGCTCGTTCCCATTTGGTAAAACATTTTCAATGTACAGTACAGTGAAAGAGATTAAATTAATTGACAGGTGACTGTATTTAGATCATAATACTTCTATGAAAAGAAAAAAAAAATCGAGCAATGAACCAGGCAGCACCAAAAAAAAAAAGTAGAATACAAGTAAAAACTCAATCACAGTTACATTAAAATCTACTGGAATGGCTATAACCAACAATAAAATGTTGCTCTCTATCTCCCTTTCACTCATTCAAAAAGTCAACCCAGTGCTTAGGAGCTGTGACTGTGTCATCCAAAGGCATTGAGATGCATCTAACAAAATAAAGCTTTTTGGTTTTATCGGTTTATTATAATAATAAATAATAATCTACGGCATTTATAGAGCGCCCAACCTCAATTAAAGTACACAGGCTCTGAGCGCTTTACAGTACAACAGTAACATATGATTAGTACATCGTGTTCTGACAAAAAGAAAATCTCTCTTTAACGTAAAAACAAAAATGACTCTACTTGACATTTGAATGAATTAAAGAATTTGATCTCTCTTAAAACTACTGGGCAAAGCATTCCAGATATAGGGGCCTTGACATTCAAATGCCCTTTCATCCATTGTTTTAAGTTCCATAAACAGTAAAACAAATTTCTTTTTGTCAGCTGATGACCTTAAACTGAGAGTTGGAATGATTATAAACATTAAAACTAAAAATCCATCATTCCCCACCTCTCGCCCACCACTGACCTTCTTCTTGTCCATCTCCTCCACCCTCTCCTGCATTTTGCCGATGAGCTGCTTGGATTTGGCCTGTATGCTCTTCAAAGACGCCTCCGCCTCGCGCAGTTTGCTCTCCGCCTCTGCCCGGCTCGAAGATTCCTTCTCCAGGTCCTTCTTGGCAGAGTCCAGCTCACCTACAGGATGTCGAGACACAACTGGCTTGTTTACATCAATAATATTATTTATACTAATAATCTTATTATAATGGAGCTAAACCCATTTGTGAGGTCATTATACATTTTTTACACAGGTGCCATAAAATCTACAAAAATATAATTCAGTTAAGCATTGTCACAAAGGGTTATGTGGGCATATTTTAAAAGTTCTGAAATTTGATAGTTTCTCCTGTAAATCGAAGATCTCAAATGTTAGTTTTCACTCTGCCATTAGCCATTTCATATTTCACTGGGGACTACTTTCGTTTCGGTTTGTACTTCATCGCGTGTGTGAGACAGCTGCTTCTATTATTTCCAGATCTAGAATCTTGACATCCAACTCTGTTTGGAAGTGTGCTTCGCAGTGTCTATGGATACTTCAGGCCAAACTTCATTGTATTGCCTTTTTTTAGATACATTTGGTGTAGTCATGTCCCAAACACGTTGACTTCGTTTAAACCCACAAATTGGTTACTTCATTGTATGACGTTAAAAAAATTTGGCACGTATTTGGTGCATAGTTTTTTTTATACAGCAAGACTCTAGATCTAGATCTCTCTATATCCTAGATGTATTTGGAGCACAGAATCCAAGACTGATTTGGAGTAGTTAGGAAGAACAGAAGTGCGGTTCGTGCATCCACCCCTATCCCTCACTCCTTTCATTCACTGGCAGTCACTGTATCGTCGTCTTACCCAGCTTCTCCTGCAGCGAGGTGATCTCCTGCGACAAGGTCTCCTCCAGCGTGTTCTTCTCCTGCTGCTCGCCCATCACCTGCGACTTGAGGAAGACGATCTCGCTCTTCAGCGTCTCCTCCACGTGCTCCTTGGCCACCTTGGCAGAGATTATCTCCTCCCGGTACTTCAGCAGCAATAGCTGCATCTCCTGTAGAGGAGAAAAAAGACCCCAGTTATTTAAGTAAAAGTTTTACGGCACTTGCAACACATTAAAAGTCATATAAGTGCTGAAGATTAGAGTTTGAGGTTTCAGTAGAGGTTTTACGGCCCTCGCAGCTGCATAAGGTCATATGAGCGCCACAAGATTAGAGGTGTTACAAAAGAGTAACAAACATAAAAAAGAAAGAGGGGAGATAAGGACGATAGATATTTGATAGGAAAGAAGAAGCAAACCACACCAGAGCACCCGCCAACCACCCACATGGGGAGAAAAAAGACCCCAGTTATTTTAGTTAGAGTTTTACGGCACTTGCAACACAATAAGGTCATATAGGTGCCAAAGATTAGAGGTCTTACAAAAGAGTAACAAACACAAAAAAGGAGGAGAGATAAGGAAGATAGATGTTTGATGGAAAAGAAGGAGCAAACCACAACAGAGCACCTACAAACCACCCAGAAAAAAAAAAGAACAAAAATTTTCACAACTGGCACAAAAACGTACCATACCATTAAACAAAAGCTATGAGAAATTTGACATGAGAAAAAGCACATAAAAAACAGAAGTCATGAAGGTCAGTCGAAATTCCAGTTGCCTCAACATTCATGTGAATAACAAACAACTGAAACAGGTCAAAGAGTCTGAATATCTTGTCAACATTTTTACAGAAAACGGGTCCATTGATAGAGAAATAGAAATACAAGCTAAAAAAATCAACAAAAAAAACACCATCACCTATCAGCTCGCACCCTTCCTATCTTATCTAAACATCTCTCTGGACAGGTTATCACTTCAGCATTTAAATTTACACCAACACTATGCTATCAGCTCCAGACCTGGAAATTAAGTAAAATTCATAAAAGCAAAATCACTACATGCAAAATGAAATGTATCCACAAATTCTTAAATGTCACAAGAAGAATCAAGCAGAGAAACAAAGGTGTCTAGTTTAGTAGAGTTTTACAGCACTTGCAACACAATAAGGCCATTGATAGAAAGAAGGAAAGATTTATTTTTTTTTCGGAAGAGTTTTATGGCACTTGCAACACATATAAGTTATATAAGTGTCGAAGATTAGACGTGTTACAAAAGAGTAAAATACGCAAAAAAAAAGAAGGGGGGGAGGTAAAGACGATAGATGTTTGATAGGAAAGAAGAAGCAAACCACACCAGAGCACCCGCCAACCACCCATAAGGAGAGATAAGGACGTCAGAAGTTTGATTGGGAAAGAAGGAGCGATATAGATCTGGTTATCTCACATCTAGGTTGTTGGGCAGGTTGATGTCCTCATTCTGCAGCTGCTGGGCTGTCTTGGAGTATTTGTCCACCAGGCTGTCATTCTCCTCCTGGAGTTTCACCAGCTGAGGAGAGAAATGGACAATACAGAGGTCTGTCTCCATTCTGCACTCTCAGAATGGCCACCGGTCCAAGACCATCACTTGCACAAACGATCCCCCCCCTCCTCCCCCTTGCTTTATTTTCTATATGTGAGGCATTGTGGAGAAATCAGGCACTCGTCAAAATAATGAAATCGAAGAAAAAGGGATTTTTCCATCAGTTTGACACCTTTTATATTTATAAGAAAACACATTTCCATGTGAATTTTACTGAAAAATCTTTTTTAAAGACACAAAATATGTAATTTTCAGTTTTCAAGGCCTCTTAAACTATTAAAGTTACCATACTTTGGCGGCCATTTTCTCATTTATTTAACCACTGAAACCAGTACCTCACCTTCTTCAATCGCAAATATCTCGACTTCTATTCATTTTTTTCATTGAAAGCAAGGCAAATAAATAAGTTTTCAGAAGATATCACTCTACATGCCCAAAAATTGACGAGCGCCTGATTCCACTGCGTCGTCACACATATTATAATGAGTATTTCTTGAACAATTAAAACTGTACAATGAACAGTTCAGGGTAGCATTCACGATTCTCAGACTGAATTTGAGAAAACATAGTACATCGACACTATAATGGTTATCTAATTCTTTTTATTCTGGCCACGAGTATACTCATAATGAGGACTAGGCCGGGCTACGAGTAAACTCGGAACAGCTATACAGTGACATCAAACAGCTAGTTCTGCTTGTAATTACCAAAATACGCAATTACGGCGCCGCTAGCTCAGTCTGAATACTTCAATTTTCCAATGAACAGCGTTTTTTTTGTTTTTGATGGCTGCAGAAGCTTGAGAAATGTCTCGAAAACGCAGGTTCACGACCGACGAAGTACTTCAAGAAGTGGCGCTGGGTAGGGAGGGGGAATTAGATTAATCTGAAAGCGACTCTAAATCAAGTGGTATAAATTCTGTTGTGGAAGATAACGAAAACGAATTAGACTCATTTAATAATGATTCGGATCGTGGTGAAGGGACAGGTACTGGAATTCATGCAGTACCGATGGGTAGTGCTAGATCTATAAAATCCAATGGGACATTGTGGGCATGGCAATCAGGGTCAAGTTGGAGGGTGGAATACACCTCAAAATCTACATGGTGTACTTCCTAACTGCATACATTTTTAGGTGCTAAATTCAATTTCTAACATAACTGCCAAATTTTCTTAAAATCTTAGAGTAAATGTAAGAAATACAGCACTTTGAAATATACACATTGAATTCTAACTCATATGGTGCGGCGGCCCCAGGACGGGTATAGAGGGCCCAGGATAAATACAGTTAATGTAATGAAAAAGCAAGAGGAATAGACAAAAAATAAGAAAACAGCAAACTCTAAGCGCTTCATAATCTATACTATTATTACCCCAACAGACCTGAGAGCATTCTGAAACAAACTCAACTTCCTGGGAAGCATACAGTGCAAGTAGCCATTTATAGGCGCTAAAACACTAACATACTGACAAGATCTTTCGCTGTCTACGACAACAACAACAGAAGGAAAGAACAGAATCCACTCATATCGTAGCTCACCTGCTGTTGGACCTCTTCTCTACCAGTCGTCAACTTATCCTGAAAACAGACAACATTATAAAGTAGAAGAGACTGGGGGGGAAACAACAAAAGGTAATCATTGTCATTGTGTCCAATTTCAGCAAAATGTTCATGTCAAGAAGACAAGATAGGATAGTATACTTTATCAACCCCTCTTTAGAAGAAATCAATCCTATGCTAAGACACATACTTATGGGTACTACTGGGATTTCCTGAAAGTAACTCAAAAATTTATAAAATTGCATTTACTAACAAAAAGAATGTTTAATCAAACAACCCATATGGGCTTACAGAAAAAGAAGTGCTGAGAAAAATGACTGTTTGAAAACAGATCTCAGTGTAAATAATGGACAAATGAAAAAAAAAAGACGTCCCTGCACACACAACTAGGAATAATGTTACTTGTGAAAGATGCCTGTTAAAGAAAAAACTGTGGTTGGTTAATTCTTAATTATCACATTTTGTAAAACACACATACACACACACACACACACACATGTACAAAGACTCACACAGTGGACCTGGAGCTCTGACTGTGAGGAGGACATCTGCTCCCGAAAGTCTTGCACATATTTCTCACACTCCAACAGTTTTGAAGACAGCGTGGTAATCTGGAAAATACAACAATGTCTGTGAGTGCAAGCATGCTGTAAAATCATTATGTGTATGTTGCCAAACGTATGAGGAGGAGAGGACGTGAGAGAGGTTATGTGTGTATGGCTGTGCACACTGGGCATGAGTATGTGTGTGTGTGTGTGTGTGGTGAAACACCGAACTATTGGGCAAGCATCTGGACATTAAAGATTTTAAGTTATCTGATTTTATCATGTCTTAAAAGGTTAAAGACATTGAAAGTAGATAGTTGGCAGGTGCTCTGATGTGGTTTGCTCCTTCTTTCCTATCAAGCATCTATCTTTCTGATCTCTCCTCCTTTTCTGTGCTCTTAATCTTCTGTACCTATGTGACCTATTTGTGTTCCAAGTGTCATAAAACGCTTAGTAAAACAAAGACACTAAAGTCATGCGGCAAAAGTCGTTTGTCAGATGCAGATCCTTTGTCAGTCAATGCAGGGAACTGGAGATGGTCAGTGAAGTTGAAAGAAAGAGCTGAAGGGTCATTCCCTGAAAAATGAAACTGCAGTGACACACATATGTGAGGCATTGTGGTGAAATCAGGCACTCCTCAAAATAAGGAAATTGAAGATATCCGCATTAGTTTGAAAACTTTTTTATAATTTTTGTTTTTTTGGCTTAACACCAGTTATGTCCATTCAAAAATACATTCCTGTGTGGATTTGGCTGTAAAGCATAGATTAAATGCTCAAAAAACGTAAATTTCCAGTTTCCAAGAACTCTCAAGCTTTGGAAATCAACAGACTTTGACGGCCATTTTCTCGTTTATTTTACCACTGAAACAAGGCGACCCGACCTCCTTCAATCACAAATGTCTCGACTTCTATTCAAGATACATGTGTATTATTTGCATCAAAAGATAGACAAATGAACAAGCTTTAAGATGATACCAATAAACTCCAGATGCATAAAAATTGACGAGAGCCTGATTCCACCGTTTCGTAACATATCATATGTGTCACAACGTGGGGGAACCAGGCCCTCATCAATTTTTGGGCATGTGGAGTTATTGGTATCACCTAAAAGCTTGTTCAGAAGTCTCGCTATCGGAGAAAAAAAAGCCCATCCATCTTGAATAGAAGTCAAGATATTTGAGATTGAAAAAGGTGGGACTGCCAGGTTTCAAAGATAAAATTAGCGAGAAAATGGCCGCCAAAGTTCGGTTATTTCCACAGCTTGATATTCCGTTGAAACTGAAAATTTACATTTTTTGTGACTTTAATCAACATCTTTCAGTAAAATTCACCCACAAATGTGTTCTTAATTGGACAACAATGGTGTTAAGCCAAAAAACAAAAATTCGATAAAAATTGAGAAAAATGGCTGGAAAATACCAGTTTCTTCAATTTCATTATTCTGACGAGCGCCCGATTTCACTACTACCTCACATATCGTGAAGATGGTGACCACCTAGAAACTGAGCTGTGAATGAGTAGCCCCCAACCACCCACGTCAAGAGATTAAACTATGACTGACCTTCCAACTACCCACGACCAGAGGTGAGCACCCTCCAACCAATCACTGACCTGCCACTGAGCACCCTCCAACCACCCACCGACCTGCGACTGAGCACCCACCAACCACTCACAAACCTGCGACTGAGCACCCACCAACCACCCACTGACCTGCGATCGAGCACCCTCCAACCACCCACTGACCTGCCACTGAGCACCCTCCAACCACCCACCGACCTGCGACTGAGCACCCTCCAACCACCCACAGACCTGCGACTGAACACCCTTCAACCACCCCCAACCACCCACTGACCTGCAACTGAGCACCCTCCAACCACCCACTCACCTGCGACTTGAGCACCCCCTAACCACCCACAGACCTGCGACTGAGCACCCTCCAACCACCCACAGACCTGCCACTGAGCACCCTCCAACCACCCCCAACCACCCACTGACCTGCGACTGAGCACCCTCCAACCACCCACTCACCTGCGACTTGAGCACCCCCCAACCACCCACAGACCTGCGACTAAGCACCCCCAAACCACCCACTGACCTGCGACTGAGCGTCCTCCGCTGCGTTCTTCAGGGCCTCCTCCAGCTCCGACTGGTACTTGAGCAGGTTCTTGTTGGTCTGCTGCTCCGAGGCCAGGGAGCGCTCCGTCTTCTTGAGCTCCGAGCTCGAGTTCTTCAGCTCCTCCTGAACCGTCTGCAGCTGAGCCTCGTAGTTGGAGCACATGCTACAGGGGCGGCCCAGCTTGTCACGGGCTGCTCGCATCTGAAACAGAGACGATCGATATTTTTTTCTTTCATCTTTTATTAACTCTTTAAACCCCGTTGGACGCTGGTAGCGTCATTCATTGGACGCTGGTAGCGTCCGGCGGTAATAACCCTGTTCCCCATTGGACGCTGATGCCAGTGACAACTGTTTCGTTTCATTTAGTGTTAGTTTTTGCTTGTTTTTCGGAACTATTCCCAAACAAAGTTTATTAGTAATGACTCAGCCTTTGTTTCTGCCATTTAGAAGCTAGAAGAAAGCGTTTGGGGTTATAATGAGACATAGTGAGCCAAGTTTAGGTGACCGTAGAAAAAAACTCTGGGGAACGGTGGAAATAACTCAGGGTCTAAAGAGTTAAAAGTAGGTCCAACTGTTTTTATGCCCCTCATCGACAGAACTTTGATCATTTAGGAGGAGCACTTCTGACCCTGTTTGTCAGGGCCAACACAGACTGAAAGATACACAACATCAAAGGCCCATTTCCCAGCTAGTATACAGCACCTATTTAGTTTTTCTACCAGTTGCTCCAGAGGAAGCCCAAGAGGCGAACGTTGAGCTGTGTCTATTAAACAAATTTGGAACATTTTACATTTTAATTTCATTTTGTTTGAAAATGATGCAAGACTCTCCCTCCTACTCTTTCCAAACAATGATGATGATGATATGATGATGATGATGATGAGGATGGAAACAAACCACAACAAAGCTGAAGATGATGATGATGAGGATGATGCTGATGCTGATGATGATAACAATATTGAAGAAAACAACCACCAAAATGATGAAAAGGATAATGACAATAAAACAACAACCACGAGTATCAAACTCACCTCCTCCTGCAGGAGAGCCCATTCCCGCTCGCTGACCAACCGCTTCCCCTCCAGGTTCACCTTGCCAGACTTTGCCGCCCTTACACTTGCCACCAGAGATTTATGGGCTTCTGTCTCTGGTGTGGGGTCTGGAGAAGGACAGAACGGCGTCAAATAAAGAAATAACTCTGCTCAAACTGATATTTCTAGATTTGGCAAGAGTTTTACGGCACTTGCAAAAGAATTCGGTCATATAAGTGCCGCAGATTAGATATATGTATATGTATATGTAGTATAGGGTTTTTACGACGCTCGCAACTGCAGAATAGAGATGTTACAAAAAAGTAACAAACATGAAAAAGGAGAGATAAGGAAGACAGAAGGAGCAAACCACTCAAGAGCACCTGCCAACAACTCACAGGTCAACAGAAGGACAGGATGGTATCAACTAAAGGAACATCTCGGCTCACACAGATACTTGTAGTTTTAGCAAGAGTTTTACGGCACTTGGAACACAAATAGGTCATGTAAGTGCCTAAAATTAGATGTTTCTTGGGAGTAACGTACAATATAAAATCAGGGTGAGAGAAAAGGACCACCAATGTTTGATGGAACAAAAGGACCAAACTACATCAGAGTGCGCATCAACCACCCACATATGAATATTTATTAGAGAGACAGAACGGCATGATAATAAAGGAACATCTCTGCTCACAAGCACATTCATGACATTATCTTTGACAATTGTTTCTACGTGTTTTCTTCCATAATTCCTTCTTTTACAAACTTGCAACTCGTACAAAAACAAACACGAAAAGAGAAACTGGGATTCCAACCTGTGATGGCTTTCATCTGGGCAGCTGTGAGTGACGGCAGGTTGAGAACTTTCTCCGGGCTGATCCTGACCGCGGTCAGCCCTTCCCGGGACCCTCCTGGACCACGAGGACAGAACATTTTTAGTGTTAGTACGAGTTTCAGGGCACGTGCAACAAAAATAGGTCATATGCATACCGAAGGTTAGAGGTGTGCCATAAGAGGAACATACAAAGCAAAGGAAGATGGATAAGGACAGTAGTGCTGGGCGGCGAGGTTCCCGGTTATTGAAAGCTAGGAATCGTAGGAATCGACTCCGAACCCAATTACTTACTTTCCAATGATGTGATTTCTTCCTGTGGTTACCTGGTAGCTCCGAACATCTTCAGGATTTAGAATAACCTTGATTTCGGAACACTACGGAGCATCAATAAAAAAAGAAGATTTTACTGATTAAAGTAACAGGTAACGGCTGGTTTACGTAAAAAGGAGTCGTAACTTTTCTTTCGTAGCATTAGTCTTGGGAATCGGTTCCCGACTAGATTCTTCGCCCAGCTCTATAGGACAGCAGATACATGTTGTTAGGAAACAAGGATCAAACCACACCACAGCACCTGCCAACCACCAACGGAAAATAAAGAGAGAAGATAAACAATTAAAGTCAAAAGTTCATCTTGTTTGGGTTTTTTAACTCACTGACTACTGGCCCCTTTCACCAGTCACTAGTGCTGAATACTGGCATTTTGGCGTACATTTTTTTTTAATTTGCTGAATGGAAAGCCTAATCAGTTAACCTACTTGTGTGAAAAATTCAAAGTACAACTACGACTTGTTTTGGACTAAATCAAAATTCAACTTTCGGAGGAACACTTTTTTAAAATCGTTACGCTGACAAAAAAACAAAAAAACAATCCTTTTTCTCGAAACTGCTCTGACTTTAAAAAAGGTATTTCCTCAGCTTACGGCAGAACTGTGCTGCAGGGCAAAATAGAGGCAAAGAAAAAAAAAGAGAAGACCTCCTACATTGCACATTGAAAATGTAAACTCTAACAGTGGTCTACAACTTCATGGAATAATACATCAAAGCAGAGACCGGGGAAGATGAAAACCTGTAGTGACAAGGAGTGGGGCACCAAAAGACAAATACAGCCTTGGCGACGGGTAAAAGGAGATATTTCTCCATCCAGTAACCCCATTTCTTTTTCTGTTGTGATGTATATTTCAGCGATGATTTCACAAAACTCCTCCTGCCAGGATGTTTATTCCCATTTCCTTGCCAATCTGTCAGTGGTGGAACAACAGTCCACATGAACATCAACGCTCGTAAGAACAGACATGATGGTTATTTGATTTGACGGTAAAGTCTCGGCCCTTTTTCATTTCTTATTCCTTCTTCTTTCCTCTCTCAATACAGAGAGGGTCACTATCTTCAAAAACACGAAAATATCTAGACTACTCATTTCTAGCAGAGACAACAAACTCACACATTCACTAAAGTATACAGTGCAGTGTGTTTTCTTTACACAATCTCTTTTTTTTCATTTTGCCCACTTAATTTTTGGGAACATTGTGAATAAGCAAATCGAAACACCCAGTTTTATATGTTCCAGTGCAGCAGGATCTCTTTTAACATTTCCCCAAAAAACACGAATCTGCAAATTTCTTTAAAAATCGTAAAACTAAGGAACTCTATTTCTGTGTGAAAAAACTTGGTTTGCAGTAAATTGTGCATGAAAAGTAGGATCACTCAAGTACATACGTAAAACACCATCAGCCTCATTCAACGACCGCGTCTCGTGGACACCACTGTCTAGGAAAATGGCCGCCTCCTCGTCCTCATCCCGAACCTCAGACATTTCACAGCTGGATGATGACCTCTTCAGCGTCTGCTGCTGCGCCGAGCTGTTCCCCGCTCCCACTAGACTGGAAGAACTGCCACTGGCCTCACGGAAGGCTGGAGAGCCCAAGGACCCTCCGGCCACTTGCCCAGGACCACCTGCGGCGTCTGTGGCATCATAGTCCTGTACACCCAAATAAAAGGAGTTACTGTAAAAGAGATCTTTCGCCTGTGAACACAACACATCCCACTAAATTCCTACCTTAATAGGACCCGCAAGGATACCCCATCCGACTGCCCGTTGTGCGACTGCCAGGATGAAACAGTACCACACCACCTCTTTAACTCCCCTGCACTTTGCGACCTGCGTAGCACCTACCTACCTGCCTCCCTAGACATCGGAAATACTCTATACAGCGACAAAGCACAGCTGATAAAAACATGTAAATTCTTTACCATATTGACAGACCAAAGGGCTAGAACCCAAATGGCCGCTGGATCGGAAAAGTAAAGTAAAGGAAAAGAGTAAATTTTCGTCAGGAGGAAACCTTAGCGCTGTTCTTGGTTGTGGATAAAGGGAAAGTAAATTTCTTCCTCGTGACTCTCTAAATTAGCAAGCTGGCAGACATGAAACATGGCAAACCCCACTGACACAACTATTAAGGAAAGAAATACCTTTTCTTAAAAAATATGAAATTCTGTGAACATATTTTTCACTGCAACTGATGTCATGAATTATATTACTAGGGAAGGAACTACAAAATAAGAAAACAAGTACGGAATGATTATTACTTTAAACTAAAATTTCATTTTGAGGCTATGTAAAGTCAAAACCATCTCTAGCATCTATGTGTCGTAAAAAATAAAATATTGATATCTATTTCACTTCAATACAAGTAGTTTCCTCACCTTTTTGCTTTCACTTTCTGAAAAATAAAAAAGCAAAATATTAAAATACACAGATAAAAAACAGTACAGCTTCTCTCTCATAATAAAGAAAAAAAAGATATAAAATATAAGAAAATTATCATGAAACATGAAGAATAGGACAATGTAAGGGTACAACAGATGTATGCGTGCGCGCACACACACCCACACACACACATGCACACAAAACACTAACCACTACAACTCTTCCTGAATTTCCAACAATCCAGTTAATGCTGGCTCTCTCACTCACACACACACCTGCACACACACACATCCAAAGAAACACCAACACACACACATAAACAAAAAAACACAAACCATTCCAATTCTGGCTAAGTTTCCTCTCCCTCTCCCTCTCTCTCACTCTCGCTCTCTCTCTCTGCACTTACATGACCAAAATTGAGTCTAGGTTCGTAAAACCCCAACTCAATCAATCAATGAATCAATCAATCAATCAATCTCTCTCTCTCTCTCTCCCTCCCTCTCCCTCCCTCTCCCTCTCTCCCACACCCACACACACACACAAACTAACCACTCCGACTCTGGCTCAGTTTCCTTCGCTCCTCTTGTTCCTTCTCCTGCCTCTCTCGCCGCTGCTCCAAGGCCTTGACCTTTCTCTCCTGGGCTTCCCTGGCCTCGTCTTTCTCTTGAAGCTCTGTCAAAGAAAAGTGAAAAAAAAAAAATACCATCAAACCAGCTTTCCTGGCAACCTGATCAAGACAAACGACCACCTCGCGATTCTCCTTTTGTTTTTTTAGAAAAAATAATATAATAAAAGCGTTCAAGACAATCACCTGTATACACAACCACTTCTCACCCCCCCTCCATCTCTTCTTTGAGTTCTTCCTACATTATAATGGCAATATCCAAAACGTTCAGTGTCTAAGACAACTGCTTTTCTCCTCGAAAACGGGCGCCCTTTTTATACACAATTCCTACTGAACATCTGTCTTGATAAACTTTAATTTCAGAACTTTTGTTTTTATATTAATGAACAAAACGAGAGTTGTTAAGTCATAGGATTTAAAATTTGTAAGAGTTTAACAGCAACTGCCGCAGATTTGAGGTGGTTCTAAAGAGTAACATACAAAGAAAAGTAGGAGAAGCAAAAAGGACGATAGAATTTGGATAGAGAAGAAGGAGCAAATCCATCAACCGCCCATTAGTAGTAGTTTTTGTGTGAGCAAATTAGCCCAATAAAAGACATATTGCAAAGTGTTTGCATGTTAACTGTACAAAATGAAGCCTATCTATCTAAGCTGACATAATAATAGTGGTTCAAAGTGCGAGACAATCTTCTACAACAGACCCTACTTTCTTTAGGATTCTTATTTTCCACAATTCAGAAAACACAAATCTAGACAAGAAAAACTAAAACATAGAAAGTAACTTACTTTTATCATATAAACTTTTCACATTATAAAAAAAATGACTCAAAACAAATTGTTCCAAACTATTAATTTGCTTTCTACAAGATAACTGTGTCTATAATGTAAACAAAAGAAGTAAATTGTTGGGTGAAAAAGGTGAAAAGGAGAGGGGTTTTTTGGTGGGAGGAGTGGAAGGGGTCCGTGGAAAAAAACTGTGGGTAGATGGGGGGTGGGAGGCTGAGAAAGAGCACGGACTGGAGTGTTGAGACCAGACAACGCTACCAGCAAGAACTCTAATTGTCTCAAAGCTCAGATATCATTCCACTACTCATGTAAAATATCATATCATACGTTCATTCACCATATCTCTATAGAAAAAAATACATTATGCAAAATAAGTGCTATGCAAATAAATACTGAATGAATGTAAAACAAATTTGCAGCAAGATGCATGATGAACCAAAGGTATTGTGTACATGCAGCATTCACATCCAAAAAACTGAACTTCCCACAAAAACAAGTTTCAAAACTCTCATCCATAAATATAACAATATACATGACTCTGTAAAAGTAAACATTTATTAGTATGCTGAGGTATACATTTTCAGTTTTATGTTCTGAAACATGTAGGCTAAGCATCAAGAAAGAGGACCCAAGAAAACATCATTTGGTGCTGGGAAAAAGCAAAACAAGCAAACGGAGAAAAAAGAAGTAAAGTAAAAACAACAACATCTGCTGTAGGTGCTCTAGAACCACCCTGTATACAAGGATCTAAGAAATACTCGCTGTCAGTTTTGAGCGGCAGTAGACATTCTTTGGGATATCATCAAAAGAACAAGAAAACTATAGGCAACAATTAATCAGAACAACACAGATGACTTTTGTGGTTGTATGAGTTTATTGCCCTACTATGCACTAGACCAAATGTAGGTAATTGTGAAGTCGTAAACAGAAAAGAATGTAAATAGCAAAGAAGAAAGAGAGTAAAGACAAGGAGAGAAGAAATGTCAGAAGACATATCAAAGCGAACACCAAAAATGTTCACATGAGCAAAACTCCAAGCATGCTATTCTACAAGAACTTCTTTTAATTATAATATGAGAGGGATTGTATCGCTCGCTCCATGCTCATTCTATTGAACAACTACAGTGAACAAAACAGAAAAAGTGATGTGTAGAACTCTACCTTTAATCTTTAAAAAAAGGTTTGCTTTAACAAATAATAAAGTGTTCAGCCTTAAATCAAAATTGTCCGGGAGCAATGTGGAAGTTTACCATAATCTTAATACCTCTCCAGCATCCTTTACTTCTCCTTATGTAAACATCATCTCCCAGAAGTTCCAGTCTACTTTAAATAACTTTTATATACATTTGTAACAAGGGGCATTATCCTCAATCGATTTGTTTTGAGTGGCCATAATTGGTTGATTTTTTTTAACTTTAAGGGTTTTATAGCAGTGCTTGTCAACCTTTCTTATAGTAAACGTCCACTTTAGCCACCTTTAAAAGCCTAAAAATGTTTGCTCCGCCCACCTAAATGTATTTCCAAGCGGGAAAATGAAATAATACCTCTCACTCTACAGATGATTCTCATTGCCCATCAAAATTACGATATTGCCCAGGATGGTAAGCATCGCTTTACAACATATGGCAAATTTTTTTAAAAGACACTTTTGATTTACGTCACTGTAGCACTTGGGGCTTGCAAAATGCACATGGGGATTCAACTATTCTCAATTAGCTTATCCAATGAGGTGGGATCTGTAAGTAATTACCAGGTAAGGTCATGGGGGGGGGGGGGGGAGGGGGGGGGAGAGGTTGGAACACAAACGGGAATAGCAGGAAGTACAAACTCTCTCAATCGCGTTTCAGCAGTTCCCAAACAATTCTGTATTTTTACCTCTCACTTGTGTTCTCACACACACACACACACATACACATGCACGCACGCACACAGGCACGCATGCACGCACTCATGCACACACACACACGCATGCACACACACCAGTTGTTGACTCTTGTTATTTACTATTCAAAGATAAATGCCTTACTGGGCATAAATAAGGTCCCTTTTAAAGGTAGATCACTTGTTTTCCCATCAGGGCACCCAACTGAGCGAAAATATTCCACGAAGTACAACAGAAACAGTTCAGACCCCACTGGGAACACCAAATTCATACCCTACTGAGCTGCAACCATACTGTTGGCTGACAGTAAAAATTGTTGACATTTTGCCTTGGTGTGATGGTGTAGTTAATGGCTAAATGCACAAGGCATGAAGTAAGGCTGAAGGGAAGATGGGATTGGCGAGTGGGGGTAGGTAAGACATAATCCAGAAGTCACTGGTGAGGGGTGCAATGTGTGTGTGTGTGTGCGCGTGTGTGTGTGTGTGTGTGTATGTGTGTCCGTGTGATTGGTAGAAGGATGTTCCATGAAATATTGAGAATACTGAGAAGTGATTGGGGGACGAGGATATCAGACGTAATCATCGAGAAGATTTGGGGATGGAAGAAGGATGTCAGTCAGATATAATCATTGAGAAGAAACGGGTGGCTGGGTGGTGGGGGGGGGGGGATTTCAGACGTAATGGACAGAAGTGACGGGTGGGATTACTTTGCCCGTTGTGTGTGTCTACTCTGGCTGAGAGTACAGGTGCTGATGCTTGTCTCTTCATCATGCGCAACCGTCTACCTTTACTCTTGGCCTCCCCACCCTTCTTCCCGTCTTGCTCCACATTGTTGTTGGAGTCATTTTCTGTGATGGTGGCATCAATTCCTGCTCTTAAACCTGAAAATATCGTGCGGGCATTGTGACTGCTCTGTTGATTAATTTTCCCTTCTTTAATCAGAAAATATCATGCACACTTTGAGACTGTGTTGTTGACTGGGGTCATTTTCCACTCTTAAATCTGAAAATATTGTGCACATTTCAAGACTGTTGCTGGATGGAAGTCAATCCCGCCTTGAAAGATCAGAATTTTTCTTCAGCATCACATGCAAGTTCATGAGGAGCAATACTGGAATAGAGAGAGTATGCATTTTCTGAAATGGAAACGGATGTCCCACTCAGACCATCAGAAATGTATTAAAAACTTTTTTTTACCTACCAGTTAAAAGCTATGCAGACTCAACAAAAGTAAGGCAGGATGCCACATTCCAATCAATGATTTGTTCATTGGCAAAACAAAAATCACTGCAATGTGCAATCATCTGACTTAAATTTGTAGGCCTTTAGCTACCTCAGAATTATTAAGTTCTACCGGAGATGTCTCCAGTTCTACCTACTCAGTACCTAGTTTTGAGAGATTTGGCATCCAAACATTTTACTTTCGCAATATGTCGAGCTTTTTTAAATGCAATTCTTCGAATATCTTGATAACAACTCCGAATATTCAGACGATTTTGGTAAATCAGATAGAGCATTAGCTTTCTGACCTGCTGGTCTTATTAGTAACTCATAACGGCTAAAAATGTCAGATAAAACTTTGTCATTCTAAGGTAGCGCTTTGTGGTTTCATGCACAAGTAGGAAACCCACATAAAATAACAGTGCAGTTCCCATCATTTCCAACACACATTCCAGAAAGCCTTGTCTGAATTACTCTCCACCATTTTATCTCATTAAATTGTGCACACGAGAAAGAAATAAACACAACAAACTCACTAACTATTAACAGAACAATAACTAAGCAACATCATGTTAGGGTGCAACACAAAAAAAGGGACAATATGCACACGGCATAGAACTGCAAAACATACGCACTAACCAATAACAGAAAAACAAGAAAACAAGGCAGTTGAATCTGCTCTAACAACCACCTGTCAAAGACAATCCCCCTGTACAAACGACTACTTTACATTACGCCCCTTGAGTTTTATAAATAATATTTTAGTTTTAGTAGAGGTTTTACAGCACTAACTGCATAAGGTCATATGAGCGCCAGAAGATTAGAGGCGTTACAAGAGAGTAACAAACATAAAATGGAAGAGCGGGAGATAAGGACGATAGATGTTTCATAGGAAAGAAGAAGCAAACCACACCAGAGCACCCGTCAACCACCCACAAAATATTTATAATGAAACTGCCCAAGAGATCAGCCTGTCTAAGACAACAACTTCACACTTTTCTCCTTGACAATGGGTGGCCATCTTGGACAATTTCAACTTTACTACGGGATGGTGTCAAAAACAAAAGAACAATATGTATACAAGACAGAGAACAAAACATAGAACATGATGGTGTTAAACAAAAAAAACAATATGTATACAAGACAGAGAACAAAACATAGAACATGATGGTGTTAAACAAAAAAACAATATGTATACAAGACAGAGAACAAAACATAGAACATGATGGTG